TCCCATCCCAGCTCCACCCCCCCACGCCCCCCCGGCCCTACCTCCCCCAGCGCCTGCAGGCTCTTCACGGCCCCCACCAGCTGCTGGTGCTCCAGGCCCAGCGCCGCGGCCGCCTCCAGGCTGCCCAGGCCGCCGCCCCCCGCCCGCTCCAGCTGCTGCAGCAGCAGCTCCGCCAGCGCGGGCCCGTCCGTCGCCATGGCGGGGGACATCCTTGCCGGAGGGGGCGGGGCGGGGAAAAACCGGGTGACCTCTCGCCCCGGAAGTGCTGGCGACAAAACACACCCACTTCCGGGGATATGGCACTTCTCTCATTACCACGCGGTGGCCGCCATTTTCAGTGTGGCACAAAAGGGGCGGCCCAACCCGGGCGCCATCTTGGGCGCGGCACGAATCGATCGACGAGCGGACGGACGCCATGTTGAGTGTGGCAATAAGGGCAACCTCGTGAGGGCCGCTTGGTGGCTGCCATCTTGAGTGTGGCATAAAAGGGCGCCTGCGAAAACCCCGCGGCCACCATCCCTGAACGTGGAAGGCGGGAGTAGCTCGTGTCAGGTGCCATCTTGAGTGTGGCTAAATGGGACGGCGGCAAATCCCAGTCGCCACCTTGCGAGGGGCAGGCAGACAAGGGGCTCAGTGGCCGCCATCTTGAGTGTTGCCCCTGAGCCGCCATCTTGGGTGTGGCAGCGCCCCTCCCATGAGGCCCCATCCCCAGCTGTGGGGTGGGTGTGGGGCCTGGAGGGGGGGAGACAGGGCAGGCTTGCGCAGGTGCGTAGATTCAGGGGGTCACTGGGGCCTCCAGAGACATGACACAATGGTATGGCCTGAGGATGATGTCATGAGGGGCTTGGTTACCACAGCAACAGGCCCATCCCTCCCACCCGAGTGTCTGTGACATAGGTGAGGCATTTGGTTACCATGGTGATGGGCCCATCCCACCCACCTGGGCAGCTGTGACATGGCGTGAGGCTGGCACGAGGCACTTGGTTACCATGACAACATGTGTCTCACACTTTCTGAGGCGCCAGGAGGCCATGCGGTGAGGATGCACTCCATTGCCATGGCGATGGGACTAAGTTATACGCCAAGGCACCTGGTTACCATGGCGATGGGCAGAGGCTAGTCACCTTGGTTGTTGCCTGAGGATATTACAGCACAGCTGCCACGGGTGGATGTTACCATGTATCTGGGCTGAGACTCCTCCCCTTTCTGCTGTGCAACGCGGCCTGGTGCTCTCCAGCCCAGAGGTGGCTGCATTCCAGCAGCACTGTGTGTGCACCAAGCGTGCGAAACATCCGGTGCTACTGAAACCAGAGGGCTGCTTATTCACGCGTGCCAACAGGGGGAGCGCAGTGCTGTCAACTCCAAGCATCCAAAAATCACAAGTCAGGCCTCGAAAATCATGAGATTGGCTTAAAAATCATCTTTTAAAAAAAAAATACATTTTGGGTTCTTTTCCTTTGCCTTCTCATGTCTGAGCCTTTCGGCCGCATTCAGGTTACATTTTCAAGCTTTTCTCCACAACTACAAGGTCAAGAAACTCTCTTTCAACGAAAGCTGCAGTTCTCCTGTAATCCCATGGCTCTGGGAGCTGGCGCTTTAAGACAAACCCCAAAGATCATGAGACTTGTGATAAAATCACCTAAAGCGGCAACCCAGACACGAAGATGAACAGCAGTTCCTCTCTATGGGCAGCCTTAGAAATTGTCAAGATAATGATGGGTGTTGGATCATGATGGAAACAAAATCTGTTTGTTAAATACCATGCAGGGGGTGTGCCAGACACCCTCCCCGCACCGTGGCAGATGGAAACCACAGCTGGGCAGCGGGCAGCAATTCAATGTAGGCTCCATGGAAGTTTAATCCACCTGGGGCCTCCTGGTAGGTGTAATTACAACTTCCTGCTGGCTAAACACAGCTTGTTTGCTTATGGGCGAAGCTAGCTAATGAGTTCTAGCAATAGAAAGTGAATTCAGGTGCAGCCCAGCCATTGGCAAGGCAAGATTCACTGCCCCCTACCAAGGTGCCGCTCCCCTATCCCAGAGGGAAGAGAGCTCACTCCTGGCTCACTCGCTCGCCACGTCCTCTGCCAACACTGCTAAACCGGGAGCTGATTTGTGCTAAATAAACTGCCTTTTTGGGTGTTGCAGGCACCTGTCCCACGACCAATTTGGCTAAGCCCCAGCAAACTCATATCACGTGGTGGGGGCACCAGATGGGAACGGGCTCTGATCGCTCCTGGGCCGGATCTGAAGTGGCAGCGTAGCCGTGAAAGGTTCTGAATCCCTCCCCCCTAAGTCTGGGGTTCTCCAGCAGGGGGTCATAACAGGTGCTGTGGAGATGCTGCAACCACCTTGCCCTTCCCATAGTGAGCAGGAGGGGTGTGTGGGAATGGTCCCAATATGGGAAAGGTTGGGAATACCTGCCCTAAACTATACAGACCCCTAAAAAAAACCTCCGGTCATGTCAGCGCTCTTGATATCTCAACGGAGACATATCTTCAGCGCTGCCAGAGATGAACCCAAACAGTGGGTCCTCTACGGGACCCCGTGGGGGCTGACAGCGGAGACTGCCCCTAAACCCTGCAGTGATGCGTGTGGGGGAAGTCTCCCCAAAGGAAAGGTGGGAACCCCATCACTCAGAGGACACTTAAAGCGAGGAACAGGCAAGAACAGACTGCAAGGGGACAGGAATCTGGGTGCAGGATCTAATGACCCTTTCCATCCCTCGTGAGTGGAGCAGCTGACCCCAGCAGAGGACTCTGGATCTCAAGAGCTCATCGCACGGCCTCCAAACTCATTTCAGATGCCGGCTGCTTATTCTGCCTCCTCCCTAAACATGCCCCCCACTGGGTTTGTGAGTTGGGTGTGAGATGCTCAGGGCTCCCCTTGCCTGATCCCTAATCACTCAGCGGAGACTCAGCCATCACCCCCCTAGGTGGGCCTGGGAAGTCAACTGCGCTAGACAGTTGGTCTGGAATGTTTTGTTCTCCAGGGTCCTGGGGGCAGGAGGGGGGTCGCTGTGGAGGAGCGAGTGGGCAGTTCCCATAGCTCAGCTCTGCCCCTTCCAGCTGATAAAAGGTTTCAAGGACAATTTCAGGAGCAGCCTCTCCCCCCGGAAGCTCTGAATGAATGGAAGAGACTGTAAAGGGCCCCCCGGGGAATATTTGAGAAATGAGGCCCTGCCCCCTGGTGGTCAGCACTGGTGCTGCGGTGTTGTCCCAAGGGTCAGGGCGTTAATTGGCACCCTGGTAATTAGGTCCCACCTGCCAAGGAGTCCCCATCCCACACACTTGCAGTTTCATTTGGCTCCAGGAGTTTCCCTCTGGTATTTCCAGATTCTCCGGTAACTGAATTTAAAACAGGGGAGTGCAAGCTCTCTTTTGGGAGAGAGGCTACACATTAGAGCAGGGTTCCTGGGTTCTATCCCTGGCACTGGGGCCTAATGGATTAGAGAAGGGTGGAGCAGGGAGCCAGGACTCCTGGGTTCAATCCATGGCTCTGGGAAGGGAATGGTGTATAGAGGGTTAGAGCAGGGGTACTGGGATCTAGGACTCCTGGATTCTATTCACAGGTTTGGGAGGGGAGTGGGGTCTAGTGATAGGAACAGGGAGTCAGGACTCCTGGGTTCTACCCTGGCTGTGGGAGGGGAGTGGGGTCTAGTGGTTAAAGCAGGGGTGCTGGGCACCAGGAGTGATTGGAACAGGGAGTCAGGACTCCTGGGTCCTGTTCCAAACTCTGTGAGAGGAAGGGTGGTGCAATGGTTAGGTGCTAGTGTGGGATTTGGGAGGCCTGGGTTCAAATCTCTGCTCTCTCCCAGGCTTGGGTGGGCACGTCTCTCTGGCTCACATCCCCAAAGGTGGCTAGGCTCTTAACGTCCACTGAAATCGGTCTCATGATCCACTGCCCTTCCCCTCCACTCATTCCATTGAGTTTGGTGGAAGTTAGGAGCCTAAATGCCTTAGGATTAATGGGGGATAATGGGCTAATTACAGCCTGGGAGGTGCTTTTGTTTGGGTTGCCACCAGGGTGTGGCGCTGGGGCAGGTGGTTTGGATTCACGGTAACTTCCTTAGTGCAGCCCTAGTGAGAGGGCTGGACAGTAACACTGGGACAGAGGCTTTGAGCCTTAGGTGGCAAAGCAGGACCAGCCGCTAGCGGGTGTTCTGTTCTTCTGGAGCTACAGACAATGGACAGGTCAGTGGGTGAACGTAGTCTTCTCCCAGGGCTGGGACTAGAGCCAGGAGTCCTCTGTTCCAGACTCCTCTTATCCCCATGGCTCCTTTCAGAGCTGGGAGTAGAACCTGACTCCTAGTCCCCTCCTAGAGCTGGGAATTGAACCCAGGAGTCCTGATTCCTCGCTTCTCCCCTCACCCCCACAGCTGGGAATAAAACTGTGTCTCGACTCCCATTTCCCTTCCCCTGCTAGCCCCCACTCCTTCCCAAGGACTAGAGACCCGGAGTTCATCAGGTGAGCGTCTGCTGAGACCACCAGCCCGCCCCCTCCCTGGATACTGTCCCCTTCCCCTCCCCTCCCCTATCATTCCTGTCCTGAGTTTAAACCAAGTATAGGCTGAGTTGGCGTCTCAACGGGAACACCTTACTCTGCCTGTAGAACAGGCTGTTCAGGGCATGTGATCCTGTCCCCTTCTCTCTTTCCGCCTTCACCAGGATATTGGCTTGCACAGTCTGACGCTCACATGTGCCACATTCCTGGCGGCTCGGAGGAGGAGGAAGAAGAGGAAGGTTTGAGGAGCAGCTTTTCACGGGTTGTAACTCTTGCACAGTAAGAGCGATAAACAAAAGGCACACCCTCTTTAAAATCCAGCCTCCGCAACTGCTGTCCCAGGACGTAAAACTGGCCCATCTGGCTACTAGTAGCGGGGTCCAGTAGTTAGAGCAGGGTTGGGGGGGACTGGGAAGCAGGATTCCTGGGTTCTAGTCTCAGCTCTGGGAGGGGAGAGGGGTCCCATAAGGCACCTGTTTGCTGATATAAGTGCATTCACACCAGGGGTTGCACAGGTAGAACTGTCTCTGTACAAAGTCACAGTTCTAGCAATAATTATACTGCACAAAACCGCTGCGCAGAGCACAGCCCGAGGTGCCTTGGTCAGACTTGTTAAGTCACAATTGGGGAGACCGTGGCTGGAAGTCTGGGGCCAGGACCAGAGCTCACCTTTTAAAACGGATGTTGAAAAATCAGAGAGCCACAAAAAGGACACGCACACACACACACACCCCCGGCTGGAGGAAACGCCTGACAGTGAGGCTGAAAGAGCTGGAGCTGTTGAGCTTAGCAAAACGCTAGCGAGGTGATGAGGTGGCTGTTTCAGCGCCATCACGGGGAGAAAATCCTGGCTCTTTATTCCCACAGAGACAGGCAGAGCAAACAACAATGACTGGAAGCTGAACCATGAGGCACCGATGTTTAAATCCAGCTGCTTGCCCATGGGACAAATGGCCAGGGGTAGGGACGGAATCAGCAGAATTCGATGGCTCTCCGGCCACGCAGGCGGCCTGTTCTGGAAGCGGCTTTAGGCAAACACGAGTCCCTGGGCTCAGCGCAGGATAACTGGGTGAAGCGTAATGGCCTGCGCTGTTGGGTCAGACTCGGAGTGGTCCCGTCTGCCCTTAATCTCTATGGATAAAGTTATGGTCGGTGCATGGGCAGAGTTAAGGTTGTTTGGGTGCCTTAACTGTGGGTTTCCAGCCTTAACACGCTTGGATGTCACTGTGAAAGTCCTGGTGTACAATATCCCTGTCCTGTTTTTACCCTTCGGTTACTGATCTGGACTCTCAATCTTAATCCCATACTTAATGTAGGTTTCTTTGCCTTGGTACACGTGTATAGGGACCATGTCACATGCCAGAGCCCCCTCTGGGGTGGAACACCTCCGCTGGTCAGCGTCCCGCAGCAGTCCTCCTCCGAAGAATCCCCCAAGCACTCCGGAACCAGAGTGATGGGAACGGTGTAAACAGCGAGTGGGTGAAAAGGAGATCACCGCCACTGGGAGAGCTGGTAGGGAAGCGTGGGGGGTGAACTCCCTGTGGTGGGGTGACACCTCCTGGGGGTACCGAGGGTTGCAAGGCCCCTCGCTACCACCTGCCATTAACATGAGGAAGCCGGGTCTGGGCCTGTCAGGGCTCAGCCCCCCGACTCCACCAGCTATAGGTGGGGCTGAGAGCCCCTCTCGGCCGCTGCCCCGTCTGCAGGTGAGCGAAAGGCACGTGCCAGCCCTGAGCCGGCAGCCTAGCTCCTAGGTGAAAGATTAAACCTCATCCCCTCTCCTCTTCTGTTATGCGGCTATGGAATAAGATCCCTTCCCCCAAGAGCCCCCCCTCCCCTGCCCTTCAGAGACTCATCTTGGGCTTCTTCTGTCTTTGCAAATCCTCCAGCCCGCCCCTGGCCCAGACAGCAAAGATAGCTTGTGTCTCGGGTGTCCATTGCTTTATATGCTGACTGAGTTAGCCCTGGGACATGCAATATACGCGTACCCAGACAGAAAGGGAGACATGTCTGTTCCCTCCTGCCTGGGGACCTGCTTTACCATCGCCAATGACCTAGTGCAAAGCCTGGCTCTGCCCCGGGCAGGACGCTGGCATTGCCATCTCCACTCCTGTGAAAAGGGTTGGGGGTCTTTAACAGCCACAAACTGGCAAGACCTGAGATTTGGCCCGGCGATCACCCCCCCAGCCGCGCTCCCGGCCTCTGAAGTGAGATCAGCGGCGCTGCGTCTGCAGGGGCAGTCCCGTGGGGAAGTTAAGGTCCCACCAGCTCAGAACACGACAACTGCTGCTTATCTCGGATTCTCTCCTGCGAGGCGCTGTGGGTACGGGGAGAGACCAGGCACGGGGATTTGTAATAATGAGAAACTCAATGAGTCCAACCACCTGGCTGGCCCAGCCTTCCAGGTGCTCCAACTACTTCCCTCTTTCTTATCTCTCTGGCACACCCTGCCTCTTCCCTCTGCCATCTTTCTTTGGCCTCGGTGCCAGCTAAGCCGTTTGGATTGCAAAACAATATCCGTTTGTGTGGCATCCCCAACTCCCGGGCCCAGGAGCTTGTGTAACTGACATCTTATGGCACAACCGACCCCAAGGGTGGGTGAGGTTGGACAGCCTGTCTGTTATGTAAATGATGCCAGCCAGAGGATGGTAAGAGGGCAAGGACATCTGTGTTCATAGGTGGCCAGGGTGATGGGCACCAGAGCAAATCCACAGATAGATGAGTGTGCATGGGGGTGCATGGAGGGGGTACATATGGGGATGGATGGAGGGATGCATATGTATAGGATGGGGGGAGGGTGTGGATGGATGGATAATGGGGCGTGTAGGGGGATAGAGGGGTGTGTGAGGTTGGGAGGATGAATATGGGGATGGATGGGTACTGGGGTGTGTGAAGGGATGGATGGAGGGTGGGTTTGTGGATGGATGGATAATGGGGCGTGCAGGGGGATAGAAGGGGGTGTGAGGATGGAAGGGTGTATATGGGGATGGATGGGTAATGGGTGTTTGAAGGGATGGATGGATGGATAGAGCATGTATGTGGGGATAGAGAGGGG